TTAACCCATTAGAAGTCACTGTACTCATATGAGTACACCTAAAATTCTACGCATAAACTTAATATCTCTTATATTTTTGTAGGGTAACCCTATTATCTTAATTCATTACAAAATTGTCTAACTATATTGATAAATTATATGAGGGTAGTGCAATATTTTTATCACATTATTTACATTGCCCGCCAATCGACTTCAAAATCAAACCCTACGTGGCGGAAATGTGCTCCCTCCTGCAAAATGGAGTTGGACAATATCCACTAAAATTTAAAAGCAACTACGATGTGTCCTTTGTCATTCAAGAGTACCTATGTTGGCAATGTAAAAAGTGCTAAAACACTTTGTGTAGAAATATCGTGTTTTAAAAATTTTCATACTTAGGTGGTCAGTGTACCCAACTGAGTACACACCTGAATTATCATGAAAAATACTATTTTCCATTTTTTTTCTCGCATTTACTGTTCTTATACTCTCAGTTGATTACGAAAATAAACAAAATTAAAAAAAAATATTGGTACTTTGTATTTGACCTTTAATGGGTTAAGTTAGCGTGTACGTACGAATAAAATATTCTTACGAACATTGTAATAAGGTCGCTTTTACTTCTACGAAACTGTACCGAAGTAACAGGTGGTGTATATAAAATGCTTAACATATGACCTCGTTACGATAGCAGATTTCCATTTCACTGATTAAACTGCGTAGGTAAAGAATAAGAAACTAATTAGCTACTTTAAAAGATTTTGTTCACATACCTCGTCAATAAATGCAGTCACATCGTATACTTCGTTACGAATCACCATCCAAACACTTTTTCTTGTATTGTGCCGTTTAACTTCATCTGCTGTGAGAATTTTACTCATTTTGAAAATATGTGGTTTATTTAATTTTTGATTTTATTTTGCGATTTATGACCAAATTGGACCGAATAAATGTCAAACTGTCAAGGTTGTTAACCTCGCTGTTGCAAGGAAAAAATTATGTCACTGTCAAAGACAGATGATTAGTTTTGTTCACTCGTCCACCAATCGGATTGCAAGGTTTTCACGTTTCTTTTCACTAAAAGAAACGAAATGAAATATTTTTTTAAGTATCTTAATCGAAGTGTTACAAAGAATTCACTTATCACTACTTTCCAACCTCAATGATCGCAAGTTCGGTTATCGGTATATTCATTACAGTTAATTTGTATATATAAACATACACGAAATAAAAGTAAAAGGATAATGTTAACGGTAAATGTACCTATATATTTTTGCGTTATTTGAAACAATTTGCTAACTTGAAACGTTCTGTCATTTTTTTGTAAACAATCAACAGCATAACCTTAAAACTTAATAAACTCACGTTTCTTTTATTTAGCAGTTTAATATGACAACAAGGCATCGAAAACTTGCTAATGGCTGAAGAAAAAGATTTTAACGACATCTTGGATGACATTGTTCTCGGTGAGGAGAAAGAACATAAGGAAAGTTATGAACAAGGCTTCAAAGCTGGGAGCGAAGCAGGAAATCCTGAAGGTTACCATTTAGGATACCACAGAGGCGCTGAACTAGGACGAGAACTAGGTAAATAAAGAACTCGGTTACTACATATTATCCTCCTACAAATTCTTAAGTACCAACCAAATTTTAAATTGAACTCTTTAGGCAACAAGTAAAGCAGCTGTCTGCTTAAAAGTTAAATATGGAGTTTGTAATTCATAACTAACATAAATTTAATTTCTTTTGAGATGAACATTTACAGGCCTTATAATTAAATAAATAAGAAACAAAAAATAATAGTTATGATATGTTTGTGTTAATAAATCTATATTTTCCAGGCTACTACCTAGGTATCATCACCCACTATATAAATTTGAATGAAGAATCAGAGAAGAAATATTCTGATAAAGTTCTAACACAACTGACCAAAGTAAAAGACCTCATTGATGCATTCCCGAAGATCAATTCGGAAGACCATGATATACTGGGCATGGCTGAGAGCATAAGAGGACAGTATAAAAAGGCTTGTGCTCTATTGAAGATATCTTCAACAAACCCTTATGATGCAGGAGTCTCATTTTGAGGGCTCTAGTAAGTAGAATATTAAATAACCATCTCTATTAATGCATTAAACTGGACCAGGGATAAAGAGCAGCTAGAAACAGGATGCTTCCAATGGGCTATACTGAAAGTGTTTTTCATGTTTGAATTTTTTTATTAGGGGATTTATAAGAAAATTTTATATTATAAATTGTGTATCATAATTGTATTGTAAATTATTGCAATTGAACTTGTTAAATTCTCTCTCTATCATAATGATATAAATTATTGGCCACAATATTGTAAATAAGGTATCTATAAAGGTTTTAATGAATAATTTTGTATAGAACTTATGGCTGTCTTCTTCTTCTTATCAGTACTAATAATAGTTATTTTTTCTTTTTAGCTTTGACTTTTTGTTTGTTATTAGTTATTGGTGATTTTGAAGTCGGTTTTTTAATTGTGGTCATTTTCTTTTTCTGTAATTGCAAATTATATTCTATTTTTATTAAGCCGATGAATTGCCAATGCTATTTACGTCATTATTGTCACATGCATCAGACTATTATTTTGCGTATTTTAAATGATACATGTTTGTGATGTGGCAGTACTGTAAAAAGTCATTAGAGAAGGCCTGTATTTAGTATTGGCTAATATGATAATAATAAGAAACTCTTTATCTAAACCAATACTTTTTCATTTTGTTATAATTAATAATTTTATTTCTTTTTTACAGAATCATCAATGAATACAAGAATTTTGAAAATCCGCCACCATATAGATTCTTTAACTAAATACTTGGCACCTCTTTTGCCTATAGCCAACTGTCATATGGTGGAGTTCCTAACTCAGAACCACTGGGACGGACTTTTACCTGATTCTCTGAGAGACACCCTGAATGGTTTACAGTTAAATGAGGCACTGGAACAATTCTGGACTGCGGCTTCAGACAAAGAAGCAGGTTTGCTTAATTTTGTATTTAAAAGTAGCATTTTAAATTTTATCGGCAATAATTTTAATCAAAATTTCCCTTTATTATGATTTTTTACACATAACATAACATCACGCCTTTAATCCTCGAAGGGGTAGGAAGAGGTGCACATTATGGCACTTAATGCCACTGTACAATGTAACACCCACTTTTGACTATTTATGTTGTGAGTCCCATGTAAGAGGGGGTGAGCGTATTGCCATATCGACCCTCCCGACCTGGGAATCGAGCCCGAGACACCTTTCCTGGTAGTCGCACTTGCGAACACTTCGCCATTAAACTGTCAAACACCGTGCGGTCACCGGTGACCGCAAGCTATTGTTCTACAATTGTGTCTATTATGATGGTACTCGACGAGTAAGGCAGTCAATATTAATATACAAATTTTTCAATATTTCCAGATAATTCCATTCTATCCAACTGGATACACACAGCCCGTTCCCACTGTGTGTCTGTCAACAATGACTACTGCTTGTCGGCTGAACAGCTGCGGGAACGCATCAGGTCATGGGGCGGAGAGATTAAACCGGAGATCAGGGTCAAGGAGTTTATGACCAGCAAGAAGAGTTATGAGGTATGAAACATGTAAAGAAGTTGGTCAAAATAATCTTATTATTATACTTATTTGACATAGTAACTGGACAATGGCTATCGTCCCGTAATGCTAGATGTAATCCCGCTTTGAAATAATTAATAAAATAGTCCCGTAAAACGTTGGATGCGTTCTACGCATCCCGCATACCTACATATTTCTTCATCACACGACACCAACACACGCGCACGATCAACAGCGTTGCATCAGTACCTACGCGTTGCGAAGATACCTAGTGCGACTACGACAATAAATGAAGCTAACTTGTTTGACGAAGTAATTTATTTGTGTAATTACGTGAACAAGAACAATGATGTCCTAAAGGCCTGGGAGGTGAAAAAATTCAGCACAGAACTACGATGGATTATATATATTCGATAGGTATTCGAAAATTCACAAAAACTGGAATCTCATTAAAAACTGCTTGCCCATTGTCAGTAGGTACCTCCTTTGCTTACTAGGGACGAATGCGCTTAGTGAAAGAGTATTTTCTTCAATGAATGCTTTAAGGACGTCGAAAAAATGGTCATTAAATGTGAAAACACTACGAGCTCTGCTTGCACTTAAATTTAATATGGAAAGTTGCGATTTTCATGACATACTTTCCTACTCAACAAGAGTCAGTAGTACTCTTGTTTAAAAGTGTCACTCTAGTGATAAATCTGATTTTAAAATTGTTAAATAAGTTTTGTATCTAAGTTTTATGTTTTTAAGTAATTTTGGTACGTAGGTGTACCGACTATACTTTAAACCTATCTATCCACAAAGTCCCGCATTAAAGTTTCAGAAAGTTGGTTGCCTTAACTTTATATAGGACCGTAGGATATACTAAGTAGTAGTACGTAGGTAATGTAGTAATAGCTCCAGCTAAAACAGGTAAAGATAATAATAATAAAAATGCAGTAATACCTACAGCTCAAATAAATAAGGGTACTAATTTGATCGAATAATAAATTATTTAATCGTATATTAATAGTAGTTACTAATAATACAGGATGTATCGTAGCTATAGGAGAAAAATATAATGTGGAGCAGAGGTTATAAAAATCGTACCCTGACGTTTAATCATCACCTTTTCTTCACCCGAAAAACACGCTAACCAACCGAAATTGGTGGCTTATTTTAGCCAAATGCCACTTTAGGGCTTGTCTACAGAGAGAGTAGAAATCAAAATGTATGGGGATGACACTGACAAGTGTCAAAATTTACGTCAATTCCATATAATTTGGTTTTCTATTCTACAAGTAGACAAGCGCTAAATGGCATTTGGCTACAGCTGCAGGATTATTAATTATACCAGGTACAGACAATGTCCCCGCTGGTGGCGGCGCTGCAGGGCGCCGCGGGCGCGCGGGTGTGCGTGGAGGCGGGCGGCGGGCGCGGCCCGCTGGCGCTGGCGCTGTGCCTCGCCTACTGCGCGCGCTGTCTCACGCTCGACTGCGACGCTCGGGCCGTCGCCGCCGCACCGCATAGGATTAAGATTATACAGGTCTGCTTTTTTATTATTGTTATTTATTATGGTCTTAGTTTATTCTGATCAAATTGTAGTTTAGTTGTTTAGTTCAGTTTAGCTGTGACTTCTCTGGTGTTGTGGGTGTCCGGCGGCACTGATCGCTTATCATCAGATGATCCGTATGCTCATTTGCCTCCTATTCCATTAAAAAAATGTGTAGAAGAATATAATTAAAATCATGCTTTTTACAAAACACAACGAACTAGGTGTAGGGGTGAGTCTATCGCACCAAATATAGGTCCCGACTCAGTGCTAAAATGCCAAACTCCATCTTAAAATAGACCCAAGATTTCATACGCGACACTCAACACCCACGACATCTATACAAAACTAAACAGTTTAAAAATCAAACTAACACATAACAATTCTCTCCACAGAAGCAATGGCATGCAATAGCGAAACGTATAAAGAATGGAATAGAAGAGCGCATAGACGAGAGCATAGATAAGAACCTTCATAGATTCGCCACCGCCTACATCACGGAGCACACCGACATCGCCAGCTTTGTGAGGGATAAGTTCCCTGAGTTTGCTGACCAAGATGTCAAGTTCCTTCTCACAGGTTTGTAGATGATAATTCGATTCGTTTGTGCCCGGTACATATGGCACTAGGCTCACCCCCTATAACATGGGACTCATGACATAAATAGTAAAAGTGAGTGTTACATTGTACAGTGGCTACCCCTTCGGGGATAAAAGACATGATGTTATGTATGTAGTATTATTATTCAATTTTTTATTTTTTTGCTGTATACTGAATGCTAGTTTCCTGTCCAAATATTGATATTAAAATTCACCACTTATACGTAATGTGGTAGTATCTACAGAGTATTCGATATCGTAAAAAATATTTTATAGGTTCTGATGCTTAT